TGAGTTTATTAGGATTATAATCATATCCTAGGGGAGTGGGAAACACTAAGAGAGAGAAAATATTTGAGTGTATATTCTATATAATTTTATCACATAGTGGAATACTCTTCGAAATTTGTCCTGTGGTTTTTCCTCAATAGTTTTTCGAGGTTTTTTCACGTAAAATTTAGTGTCATCTTATTATTTATTTTTCCTCTTAAGTGGCTGGTTAAACCGCCCGTTTTATTTTCTTCCTAAATGGCTGGTTAAACCGTCCAATTTATTTTGCTTGGTTGGCTACACCGCCTTTTTTACTAACCGTTAATATTGGTCAGATAAATCGCCTGTTTCACTATTTATTTATTATTGTTCACATGTTTGTTCACATGAAATAATTTATTTCACTACTGCACTAATTTTTCCCAACACCCGGATAGTACGGGGTGGGTACTAAAATAGCTTCACCCTGTTCAGCAAGGCAGAAGATAAGAGTATCATTGGCCGAAGTTGCCCCGGCAGTGAGGACCAGTTTGTTTGGATCAAAAAATTTGGCATTGCTTCCTCTGATTTTTTCCATGTATTTCGCCAGCGCCTGCAAGAATATTAATTTTTAATTTTTGCTTCGAGTTTTGTATGGAAATGGAATACATTTATAATATTACCATAATTATTAAGTCAAATGGATGGAAAATGAATGTTACATTCTTGAGAGCAGGAAGGCCGTGATAATCCTCAAAGAGAGCTACTTCTTTAAATACAGATACGTTGTCTTTCATCAGCACTGCATCCAGGTTCCCTTGGAGCCATGATTCAACAAGGTCAAGTGAAAGCTGCAAGAAACGTCGTCGTTTGCATTAGATAGATGGTATAAGTGCTTAATTATTTGATGAGAATTTACCTAAAGGATGTTCAGTCCTTAAGAATTTGAATCATTAGCGGAGATAAAGAGACCTGAGCAGGCGCAAGCCCCCAATACTTTTGGAAAAAAGAAAAAAGTCAATTATGTTCAGTACTTATGTTTTTAGTATTTTTATTTTTATTTATTTCATAGTATTTTGAAGATTTTCCTTTTTAATTGTTGAAGATTACATTTGGTGATGAAAAAAAGTGAGGAAAGTAAAGATAATATAAAAATAAGGAAAAATAAAGATTAATTAAATAAAAAATGTTAATTACCATATTTTCACACAATGTATGTTCATTAATATCCCTTTTTTTTTTAGTATTCTTTTACTCAATTTATGTTATTGCTATCTTTCAATTGATGACATTTGTACATCATTAACTATGAGAACAATATATTTTCTTTAAAAATTTTATTTTATTA